CACTCCCTCCCAGGAGGGGAGATGGCAACACCACAATCCCTTCTACATTCTCCTCTCAGGATTTTGAACACACACTCCTAGAGTGATTTTCAAGCTTCTAGGTGAACTATAAAATTAGTCATGGGCCATCCAGCTGTCTTAACCTCCACGCCACCTGCTGATTCTGGCCCTGCATTTTTTTAATGATTGAAAAAAATTAAGAATATTTTGTGAGAGACCAGGAAATGCTCTAATGTTTATGTTGCTGGACTCCTGCATAGTCGACCGTGGTTGAAGTCCCAGACCCAGTGGCTTAAAGACTCATGCTGAGCGTGTGTTCCCAAAATTCCTAGAGGAGGATGGAGGAGAAGGGGTTGAGGCATGGCCGTCCTCCCTGGGGTGTGATTTCTCACTTTCTGTCTCTTGTCTCTGGTGAGTGCACGTTCCCTATAGCCAAAAAAATAAAAAATAAAAAAATAAAAATATTTTGTGATGCAAAAACTACATTATAATTCAAATTTTGGCGTCTATGAATAAAGTTTTATTGAAACATAACATGCTTACTAATTTACATACTGTCTATGGCTTTCTTTGCACTACAATCACTGAGTTGAGTACAGTAGTTGTGAAGGCCATCTCTCTCTAAAAAAGAAAAAAAAACAATAAGCACATATAAGGGGACTTTGAAAGGTTTTGGAAAAATTGAATTATAGTATAGGTTTATTATGGCACTAAAAATAAAGAAATCCACGCATAGTTTTTTCATAATACGCACTTTTCATTCATTTTTTAAAGACCGCCCCCCCTTGTATAAGACTTGAACAACAGCATGAACTAAAGATACCAACAACAGGAGAATGTATGTTTGTTTTACATGCATGTGGAACATTTACCAACATAGTTCGTATGTAGGACCATAAAATAAACCTCAATAATGTTAACAGGATTCAAAGAATATAAACTATGTTCCCTGAGCACAATGGAATTAAATAAGAAACCAATAATAGAAACATCTCAAGAAAAACTTCCAATATTTAAATGAACATGAAATAACATGTTTAATTAATGTATGACACAGAGAAGAACTTAAAAGGGGAAATTAGAAGGTGCTTTGAATGAGCGAAAATGAAAAACAATATCTTACAATTTGTAGGACATGGCAAAAGAAGTAGCACTACAAAGAGAAAAATTTATAGCACTAAATACAATTATTACAATAGAAGAAAACTTTAATTGAAGTTTTATTTAAAATACTTCCTCTGGAACAAGCAGTTGGCATAATGGCTATGTTGCCGGACTCCCATGTAGTAAACCATATTTCGAATCCTGGACCCGGTGGCTTGAACTCATGCCAGGCGCGTGTGCATGAGTGCCCAAGATCCCGAGAGGAGAATGGAAGAGAGGAGATTGTGATGTGGCCATGCCCCCTGGGGGGTGATTTCTCGCTTTCTGTCTCTGTCTCTTTCTGTCTTTCTGGTGAGTGTGCGCGCCCTATAGCAAAAATCTCTCACTGTCTTTCTGTTAAGTGTGCGCGCCCTATAGCAAAAATCTCTCAAAAAAAAATCCTTCCTCCAAAGAAAACTATAGGCTCAGATGGCTTTACTAGTAACTCTTCTAAATACTTAAAGATGATGTAGTGCCCATTATATGCAAAATCTTCTAGAATATTGAAGAAGAAGGAATACTTCCTACCTGATTCTATGAATCTAGAATTACCCAGATAACTAAATTAGATCATCGCATTTAAAAAAGATAACCACAAAGCAATTTCCTTTATCAACATTTATGCAAAAATTCTTTTTTAAATTAAAAATATTTTAGAATTATATCTGTAATTTTATTTATCATTATTGCTATTATTTTATCACTAGAGAGAGAGAGTGAGAGGGAAAGTGAGAAAGCAAACTGCCAGGTGTGGGACTTGAACTGTGATCGACCACGCAGGAGTCCCAACACCTTAACCGCCATGCTATTGCTGGCCCCTAGGCAAAAGTTCTTAACAAAACTTTAGTAAATTGAATATAATCATTTATAAAGATAAAACAGGGACTGGAGGGCACACAAGGGTAAAACTTCATGCATCTCAAGGCAGACATACGTGGAAGGTTGCCAGTTCTCTTCTGGAGATCTTGAGTATGCTGGGCAAGTGTGTGCCCATGATAGGGCTGGCAGAAGCTGAGAGTAGTTTGTAGCATCAAGACCCTGTCAGTGTAGTGTCTCTGTCTCTGTCTCTCTCCCTGTTTCTCATTCATGTGATAAACTTTAAAAAATGCAGTATACTGGTCATTTGGTCTGGCAGCTTATCTGCTTACAATCAGCAATCAATCTCCATCAGGCAAAGCATCTTAAAATGCTGAGAGATAAATTATTTTAATTTTATTGTTATTGTTATTCTTCTTATTATTATTATTTAATTTGATCAGAGAGAGACAGAGAAGAAACGTGAGAAAGCAAGCTGCCAGGCAGGTTCAGGAATTAAACTGTGGTTAGCCATGTGTGAGTCCAGTGCCTTAACGACCATGCCACCTGCTGGTACCAAGAGATAAATTCTTAAGCCTTTTTTGAGACTTGGGTTCTGGTTTGAGCATGGCTCACCTCATAGGTGCAGCCCAATCTTTCAGATTTGCCCTTGGGATTTGGTGCCCTTTAGCCCACCACCTGCATAGAGCACAGTGCATTACTTGAGCCTTTTTACTAAATCATATCTCCTTAGCTCATTCTCACCTCATCAGGAGCTGAAAGATTGGCAAAGTAGCCAATCAACTAATGCTACATATATAAACTTTATCTTCTCTGATCTATAAGACACAGCCCTCCAACAGGAAAACACCTGGGATCTAGGGGTGATATTCTCTCCTTTGACACTACAATAAATAGGAAGAAATTAACATATCATCAAATGGTCAAAAACCAGTGCAGAGTCAGAAGAAATATGAGAAAACAAGGAAATAACTTTCCCCCAAACACGATAAACCCTCACCAAAAATGGCCAACACAAAAGAATTCACAGAAATGTCAGAAAAAAGAATTCTAAGCATTCATTGTGACAAAAGTCAATGAGATACAAAAAAAACAGACAATCAATACCAGGAAATGAAAAAATCATTTCAAGACACAAAAGAGGAATTCCATAAAGAGATAAACATTCTAGAAGAGAATCAAATAGAAATTCTGGAAATTAAGAATATAATACAAGAAATTAAAATCTCCCTCAGAAGCATTAGTAGCAGGTTGGTCTCTGCAAAAGAAATAATTTCTGACCTTCAAGACAAAGTCTCCAACATAGACCAAACTATCAAAAAGAATTTTTAAAAATAACCAAAAATATGAGGATAGTATATGGGAAATTCTATACACTATTAAATAT